ATTCAGACTGTAATGTTGATTGATAGAACTGATATGTGGGATGCTGTTCTGTTAATCATGGTAGATAGAACCTCATTGCTCTGTATTCCTCCTTGTGCTATTGTTTTATAAGAGCTGTGAGCTTTAACTTTGTTGGGTGATTTTACACTGGTGTGTATCTATTTTGATGATTCATGTGTGATGCAGTGCTGAGTATTTCCTACAGAGAAGCAGTGGTCGTGACAAATGCCTTCAGTGTTTGTTTACCTGGAAATGACTTTCTTTCTCCTTCACTTATGCAACTTAATTCTTCAGGATACAAAATTCTAGGCTGACAGTAGTTCTGTTTACAGAGATTGAAGATGGAGCCTCCATGCCTTCTGTCTTGTGAAACCTCTGCTGAGAAGTGTGCCATTAGCTTGATGGGTTTTCCTATGTAGGTTAGTTGATTCTTTCATCTTGCTGTTTGTAGAATTTTCTCCTTCATTTTGACTTTGGCCAGGTTGATTACTATGTGTTATAGAGATGTCCTATTTGCTATGAATCTTCCTGGTGTTTGATAATCATCTTGTATCTAGGTTTCTGAATCTCTGGCGATACCAGGGAAGTTTTTCTCAACAATTTCCTCGAATAAAGTTCCCATGATTTTAGCTATTTCTTCTTCTCCCTCAGCAAAATCTGTAATTCATATATTAGTTTGCTTTGCATAGTCCCATATCTCTTTAAGTGATTGCTCAGTCTTTTTTATTCCTTTTTCTGCCTCTTTAAAGGATTGGGTTACCTTGAGAGCCTTGTCTCAAGCTCTGAGAGTCTTTCTCCTCTTTGGTTTAATCTGTTGAAGCTTTCTACTATGTTTCAAAATTCTTTAAATGACTCTTTCATTACCTTACATCCTATTATATCCTTTCTTATGTCGTCTAGCTCTTTAGCAACTTACTCTTTGATTTCCTGAAATATTCTTTTGGTTTCTTTTTGTTGGTATTCAACTTATTCTTCAATTCCATACATCTTATTTGCCAATCATACTCTGAATTCTATTTCTTTCTATTTAGCCATTGCCTTTGGTTGGAATCCATTACTGTAGCTCCATTGTGATGACTTGGGGGTGTCAAATTTTATGTTTTTTTTTTCATGTTGTCAGATATTTTTGCTGGTATCTTCTCATTTGACATCTCTTTTCTCAGCTCAGTGCAAATAGGTTTGGAGAGCACTTATTATCCTTTGCTGGGACTTCTCCTGCTAAATTAGAAGAAGAGACAGTCCCTATACTGCATATTTTTCCTACTGAAATGCTGACCCAGCAGGGGAAAAGCATGTGACCTGTAAGCCTACAGTGTAATTTTTCTGTGTTCTCCCATTCACCTGGGTATGTCACAGTTCAAGCCGGTGCTGGATGATCTTTGTGCAGGGTGGTGGATTGTTCCCCAGATCATTGCAGGAAGTTCCAGTTGGGGGCTGGGTTAGAACCTCCCCATGAAGGGTGGCATTGTAGGGATTGCTGTGTTCGGGCTCTCCCTACAGAGGTGACAGTAGCTGCTATCTAGGTTGTTGTTGTGGGTGCCCGGGCTATGGGCATTTGCTCAAAGCAGGTCCAGGTGTAATGGTAGATTGAGGCTTGGATATCCCTGGTGGGGTGTTGGACCTCGGGACAGTTCTGCTGGCCCAGGGGTGGATACTCAGGGGTGGAATCTTGGATTCTGGGTGCAGTGCTGGAATCTCAGTAGCAGTGATCTGGGCCTGGCAGAAGCTCTGGAGCCTCGGGTTGAAGGGTGAGTGCCTCAGAGCCAGAACTGGGGTTTGTGGAGACAGGGCAATCCAGGCAGCAGGATGTTCCACCAGCTCAGGGACCACAGATGCCCAGTTGTACAGGCAGGGTTTGGTTCCATCAGCCCAGGGACCACAGAGTTCTCCCCCCATGCCAAGTCGTGCTGAGGCAGTCACCCAAAACTTCCCAGGTCAAGCCTGTCAGGCCTAAGGAATCTCCTCTGCTCAGATCCCAGCATGCTAGGGGGCAGGGTGCTAGACTCCCAGACACAGGGCACAGCACAGGGTAGCATCTACTCTGTCTGCCCCCTTCAAAGCCTGGTAAGGGCGATGTGAAGGCTATTGCTGAAAAGCTGAGTCCTGTGCTAACTTATTGCTGTGTACCTGAGAGCTCAGGATGGCATCAGCTGCAGAAACCTGGGATTGACAGCCCCCAGAGCCTTACTCACCTGTTCTCCAGTGCAATGACCAAGCACAGACTCTAGGCAGCTTACCAGTCAGTCCACATACAGGTCTGTGGTGGTGGAGGTAGCCCTCTCACAACTCATGCCACAGTGCCTGAGGGGTGAGCATGGCACCCCTGCTCTCTATCCTCCTAATCTTCCCCATGTGTAGATGTCTCCCCACAGATCATTTTGACCTTGTCAGATGAATCACTTGTCAGCTTCTCCTTCACTCCGAGTGTCCCACAGAACTTCTCTGGGGTTTCACAATGTTACTTCTGAGAAGAGCTATCTGTAGGTAGGCGTCTGCCTGCAACTTATGATCCTTTTGTTGAAAGCAGCATGCTCATGGGCTGCTTCTAGTTTGCTGTCTTTTCCTCCTGATTCTCCTCCTTCCCTTAGGAATTTTTCTGTAAATTAGAAAGCAGCATCCCCCTCAGAAGAGCTGCAAAGGGAATGAGGCTGGTAAGTCATCTCTAGTACCCCCTAGTGACCCCAAGGCTCAGAGTCTGGAGGCCATGCAAGCATCCCAGAAAAGAACTCCACTGCTTTCTGCAGCCCCCAGGGACACAGTCCTGAAGATAAAATGTGTCCAAGGTCCCCAGTGCTGCAGTTCTTCTTCCTGAAGAAAAATACCGCTCCACTTTCTCTTGAATCCCAAGGGCTTGCATTGACTTTGGATAGCTATGGAATGATTCGGCCTCTTTCTGGTCTGGAAGAATGACTGCTTCAGCTTTTACCTCCAGCCAGGGCAGAGGCCATAGACAAACCACCCAGTGTGATCCAAGGCAGAGTGATGGGTGAAGAGGACATGTCTCTGTCTCTGTTTTGCCTGGATTACTTCTTGGCCTTTTGGCCAAGAGCTGGTGTAGTATCTGAGTGGCCTAGAATCCCTCACCTCACCCCACTAGTTATCCCCCAGTTAAGACTATGTGGTTGACACAGCCCCTAAGGATGCCTTTGGTCCTCCTTTGCATTGCCATGACTGGCCCCATCATGTGGGCCTGTGTAGTTGCTCCACATTTGTTTGTTGAATGGACACATAAGTGTGTGGACAAATGAACACAATTGTCACTCAGGAGAAGAGATTTCTTAGCAGCCAGTAAATAATCAGCTTGGACTTTTATACCTTACTATGCCAGAGCTTGTCAGCTACCACCAGCAGGTTTAACAAGAAACTTAGGAGAAGGGAAGGTGCCAACAGCAGCACCTGCCATGTGGTACTGGGAGTGACAGAAGCATCAGAAGCCAAGGGTTTGGGGAAGGATACCCTTTGCAGATACCCTCTGAGAACTGAGGCAGTTGCCTGTGTAGGGCCATGGAGCCCACAGGGACTAGAGAGAGGGAGCCTGCAATGAAGGGATGGGGGAGGCCAACTCAATTGATTGGCCCAGACTGAGTCTCCCTTGACTCTGGTGCTGGACAGACATATTTGGCCTTAAGAAATAGATCAAATAATTTCTCCTTCTCCAGAAATCCCAGTGGATGCAGAACCTAGTCACTGAGTCTCTAGTCAGAAAACCAGGGGGGCAAATAGCCCCAGAAGCCAGCTCTGTGAGAACCATGATATGCTGGTGTGGCAGAGTTATCCAAGGTCACTGATGTCAGAGGTTAGGAAAGTGGAAGTTCGTCCACCTCCTTCCTTCCCCAGGTTCTCCCTCACTCTCAGCCTTGGAGGGGCCGTGGAGAGCTCACAGGATCTCGCCACCTTCCCTGGAATCCACCCAGCTTGGAGACCAGTGGTTCATGAACTCCGCATACCACTTCCATGGAGGGAGAATTCACCTTCATGGATGGAAGTGAGGTCTGCACAGCATCTCTGGTGGGGCCAAAGAGCCTCTCCACAAAGGAAATGATTTCCCTGGTCAGCAGCTTTACAGGACGCT